ACGCTGAACCTTTAATTTATTATGTAATTACTTATCTCACTATTTGTCACTATTTCTTTGAAGACAAGGGTACTTGTAATGGCAAGCCTGAAGCATGTACCGATGTTCCATTTAAAACATAACCCTAATTACTTCACATGAACGCCTTTAAACACAAAATGACAAAACCAATGGGAATATTAAATTGTTGGAGCCATATACCACTGTTGCAGCTGATGCATTCTTTGAAATCAGTATGGCCATAATTCCAGCTGTTCTGTGGCCTGATGAACACCTGTCATAGACAAACACTTTCTATGTTCAAAAATTTTGTTTTCATTTGGCAAACTGTTGTCTTATTCGCTACTTCCTTGTCAGGATATGCATTACTATATGCTTCACAAACTGCAGCCAACAATTTTGATGCAAAGTAATGTTCAACAATGAACAAACATGACCTTGACTCAAGCATCACTGGGGAGGTTAGGAGAGAGTATTACACAGGGGTTGACCTGAAGATTTCTGTCTTCTGGGTTGTTGCGCTGTGTAGTCTGGTCGATGTTAACCAACGTTTCAGAGGTCAGGGCCCTGATGACGGAGGCAGTATGACCTCTGAAACGTTGGTTAACATCGACCAGACTACACAGCGCAACAACCCAGAAGACAGTAATCTTCATACTCACCGCTGTGAAAACCTCAAATCTTACATAGGGGTTGACCTGTTTCTGATTTCATTTTGATGCTACAATACATATTGTTGGGTTGCAATTCAATGTTGCACACAGCATTTCAAGTCAACAAATCAGAATTACTCATGTTTAGGACAATTATATATCATGAAGAACTTATGAGGAAAATGGAATAAAACAATGAAACAAACAATCCTATAAGAGGCAGAAGAAGAAAATAAAACTATTGTTTAGGAAGAAATTAGCAATGATATAATAAACTTCAACTTTCAAAGCACGTAAATTGTCATCAAGAAATGCCACAAAGCATAAAATATTACATAGCCATTTATTTCAATGATTGTTTAAATTTGATGAATTGTGATATGTTAATATATTCAGTGATGGTAAAAAATATGTTAAATTATTGGTAATGTAGGAACAACAAGTACAATGAAACGTCATCAGACCATTATGACAATGGTTTTATAATAAGTGGTCATCATACAACCATATCAAGCTCTAATAAGTTAAATTAATTATATATGTGGAATTAATGTTATAATTTTGTTTACTTTTATGAGGGTAAAAAGTTTCTGGAACCCTTTACAAATTTGCCACATCTTCAATCATGTCACATCAGTACCAACTCTTTTGTGGTAGCACCCGATGGTTCAGTACGGCTAATAGCAAATTGCACAATTAGACATGGCCCTGAGACAGTACCATCTACCTAGGTAGGTATCTTTTGAAAAATATTACAGCATGTTGGAACATAAAGCAAATCCCAAATAATCTACTTTTTGTCAACTTGGTTTTAGCCTGTTACATGGCAGAATATTGGCATGTTAAATGTTTCATGTTTCTGAAGTTAACATCACACATTTTTGGCATAAGTATTATGTATACAGTGACAGATTGAATAATAATAATTAGGATTTGTGAATAACATGAAATTATGATAAATCAATCAGGGTTTATTTTAAAACAACATATTACTATTAACATAGACACTATACACTATGAAAAACAAGGCCAGTAAAAGGAATTAGTCTGTAAGATCTTTAAAATGTTAAAACAAAACATGAACCACAATGCATGGTTCAGAACCTTACATATTGTGGCATTCAAATATGTATTCTCAAAGGAAAATATGGGCCTAGTTTGCTAAAGTATATGTAATTGTTATCCAAGAGTTGGAATATCTGTAGGAAATAAAGACACCAAATTGTGTGGACATCCTCCATGAATCCACTAAAATTTATAATCAGAATATCTCATAAATACATCAATCCCCTCAACCCATAACCTAACAGAATGAAAGGCAATAGCCAGGAAAAGAGTACATTCAGAGACAGAACACTCATAGTGGTGTCAACATTACAGTTTATGTGCTTACTGGTAGTTTATAGAATGTTGAATCAAACAAGCTTGATGCAGGTCATGACAAAGGGTCATTATTTTAGAAGGGTGTTGTAATTACACAACAAATTCCATGCTTACAGGTGGCAGGTGATATGAACAGAGGAACTACTATACCTGTAGCCTCGTCTTGCTGTCCACCAAATATCCCAACCCACTGTCTCACTTGCCAGAAACATACAACTAAATCAATGAGAAAAGGAAAAATAATCGTGACACTGTTGTTTAACGATATTTCAAGCATGAGTCTATTATTATTATTTAATATTACTGTTATTATAACTAAATTAAAATCATGAAAATAATTACTTTCATAATGCTAGGTCTGATCTGAATGTATGTAAAGAAATCAATTGTTCATGATTATTAAACATTTCTGAGAATTTAAGTAAACTGTAACTTCACCCAAAATGAAATGACTTGATTCATCTTCACAAACACCATCCAACTTAAACTCATTTATTAAAAAAAAAATTCTTAAAAATAATTTTATGTATTTTGAAAGGGTTATTTATCCTTTAATATCCAATGTGCGTTGGCAATGCATCCATGATTCTTAACTTAAATATAAATACATTTGTTAATTTTACTTCAAACAGACCATGAAGTCTCTAACTTTTGTCCTCTTAGAACCTGGCCATAAGAGTAAAATAATGTTTGCAGCATTTAATAGGTGATTCTAAAATTACTTCATCTCAAGAAAACAACACAAACTAAGAACATAAAGTATGTTTCTTGGAAAAATGTTATCATCACCTTTGCAGCCTTATCCATGCAAGCAGACAAATACAAGAAAGAAAAATTGGTTAATCAGTTAATAATAAAATCATAATAATTAAGAATGCAACAGTCAGACTCGGAAGACATTAAAACAGAGTTTTTTTCTTTTCAGCTAAAAAAAAGCTAACAATTAACACCATTAGCAACACACAGTTTGTGGCAAGGAAAAAGGTTTGAGCTACAGTTAATAATTATATGATAAGGCCATATTGGGATGGGTTCTATTCCACAGCTGCTATCATCTGTTGGCCTGGAGTGACCAACTGTTCCAGGACAAAACCCTTGTCATGCACAACACAATACTGCAGCTCATGTTCCTTGTTACTATAAAAAAACACTGTTCATCACTTTGATGACCTCATTTTGTAGGTACTACTGCTGCTTTCATTAAACAAATTTCCATTAAACCTTATAACTCTTCACCTGCATTATTAAAACTCATTAATCTTCATTCGCTGTCACGGCTTACATGCGGTACACCTGGCCATGCGTCACTCACAACAACATAACACTAAACTATTAACCTCAAAGTTTAAAGTCCGGATGGCAGCCCCGTAGTATAGGGGTTTAAATACCCTATTCCTGTATGGTAAAGGTTAAAGAATGGCAGCATTATTAGGAAACATAACTTTTGGATACAACATCTACTCTATAAAATTGTGCACTGAAACAAATGTCACATATCTCCCAAATAAATATATCATAAAGTACATGAGCTATCTGTGCCATCTACTGGTTGTATATGAAATCAACTTTGCTTAACTTGCTCATCATTTGAGTGTCAATAAACTTGACTAAGGTAAATACAAAAAACATCCCCAACCATTAATGTTACAATAGATATCATCATTGTCATCAAAATCATCAATGGCTCTACAGTCCTTCAATGGCATTGGCCAACAAACACATGGGAAGTTTCTTTATCTTTCTAGACATTTGATAAGGTTCCTTGAATGAGTGATCAGCCCGTTGCAAGGCCTCTCCCTATACAGGAAACCACAACATACAAAGATGTAGACAAACATCCATGCTGTGAGTGGAATTTGAACTCATGATCCCAGTGTCTAAGCGATCATAGGCCACACCCCAAACTGCATGGCCACTTTTTACCAGCACATTGGGTAATATTACTCACAGACAAGTTAAATTTCCTTACACATGATTTTGTTTGTGCTTTTAGTTCTGGCAACTTGCATGTCAGTAGTCTTCTTTCTATAATTATTTTCTTTTCAGAAAAGTCCCTACTATTAAATCCGTTTTAAAAGGCATTCGATTGCACAGTCACATAAAGGTTCTCTGCCAACGTTCATTTTAGCTGTGCATGTAGTCTAATCACTCCCCAGCAACTTGTACCATGAGATAGGAAATGCTTCCCTTGCACGAGGATTGTTTACTTTCTGGAGTTTAACATGCTTCAAAATACGATCACAAATACAATCCTGCACCATCTAAATATGCACACACAATGTTTTAATAAACTTAATGTTACTTACAACACCCAACAAGAACTGAAATCACACATAATCAGTTAATTTTCACATCACCACTGAAAGAACACATTCTTTTGCTTCTGCACTACAGGCCAAGAGGCATGGACAACACAGTCAGAATTGCTTCCTATAGATACATCTGGTGGGACAAACTGTTATTAAGATGACAATATTCACAATCCCTATTATTCAACTTGAATTATTTATGTACAAATTCTTTTCATTTCATTTCTCAACAACGGAAGCAATGCTTCCCTTGCTTCCATGCACGGCATGCCACTGACTGTACCTGTACATAATGTGGTACGCACAGATTGTACCTTCCTTTCAACAGAAGAAGCTAATTTGTGCACCAACATTACCCATTGTTACTGCTGTTCATTTGCTCAAAGGCAATGAGTTTTGTGTGTAGATATATATAAATATCTGTGAGATACCATTCCAGTTAATTTATAGTAGTGTCTAGCATTTACAGTGTTTTGGAATTATGATAATAAATTAAAGAGTATCAAAGGATATAAATTTACAAATTACTTTCAAGTTATCTACATAGCACAACATACCAGATGATAGCCATACTTCCTGCCATGAGAATCAGTAATGTGGATTATATAGTGTTGAGATAATTGTCTTCAGTACAGGGGACCCTACTTTGAAAAGCAACACACTTGTAATGATTCAGAATAAAGGATGTAGGTTTAAAAAACACCCGTCTTTATTATATTATTCATTATTGCATAAGCATATGTGGAGTAATTATTTTATATTTATTTGTTTCTAAACCCAAATCTGCCCCACTAACAGAATTAATGGTATCACCAACAGTTTAATAAAAAATTACACAGTAAAATCAGTTTGCCATATTCAAGTTCTTATTTACCTGTAACAACATCATAAAAAATGGGTGATAAATAAGTTAAGTGTATGGTAAAATTCCACAATTACAGTTCTGATTGTGCAACTTAAGACTTAACTCTTGGAACATAATTTCACTTCCCAAGAGTGAACTTAGTAAATTAAAAATATTGAAGCAATGATGATAGTCTCACCTTTGGGCAATGTTCGAAAGTCGATATGACAAGAGAACCTCTCCATCTGCTGGCTTGCCTTCTCATCAAAATTAGGAGCCCGTATATTTTTGGCTCGAACTGTCACCCTGTATACAGTGTTAGGAGCTAGGCCTGCAATGACATCAGAGTGTGTTATTCAACCATAACCATCAGTCAGCACATCACCTAGGCCAACAAGCAACAACACAACTAAAACAAAAATCAGCTTAGAAATTCATTACAGATCTTACTGGTTGAACATTTCAATAAAGAAGTTTTACTTTTCAGATTAGACACTTTCCAAAGTACTAGGCTGCAAAACAAGTGGAAGGCATGGCGATAAGACTACAATTCTTCAGACCTCTCAACACTAGGAGCACTTGAGACTTGAGCTTTGTCTTTATATAAGATATCACCAATACCCTATGAGATCTGTTGTTCTCACAGCAGTGAAGAAGTTTATGTTCAGGGTTGTAAAATTATGTGGACTTCTGAAGATGTAGGCTGTATGTTTCTCCAAAACATTGGTATTTACTGACAAGTTCACACAATGTTATTGCCCAGAAGACCGACATCCACAAAATCATAGCTACTTTAATTGGCCCAGGAGGTAAATACTTTCCTATCTGGCATTTTCAAGGAGGCAAACATAAATCTATGATTAGTACCACAAATTTTTTCCAGGGAATTCCATTGCTGATGAATGAGAGGGATACAATTTTCATAAAATGCAATGGCTGTACAGAAATACATGTAAAGTGCAAACCAGAATAAACATGTTAATTGCATCTGAAGGCATTAATGATTTAAAAAAGATAGATATAATTACATGAGAGGACTACAGTAACAGCAGAAACATTGTACCAGTGATAGTATGCCTGTAGACACCAGGTTTCACTGTCCGAACCTCCACATTGTTGACGCACACAACATGCTGGTGATTGCTATTACTGGGTAACCATGAGATGATAGCTGAAGTGCTGGTTACATGGCTCGCCTTCACATTGCTGGGACCCAAGGGCATATCCTTACCGATCACCATAGTGCACGCTGCATCACGAGATGTTCGTCTGTTGGGTGTGATGGATCGCACACTGATCCGATGGGGCTGCAGTGAATATGTGCAACATAAGCTATAAGTTCAAGCTTCACTGTTTAAGGAGACTCAACATTTTGGTTTTCATATGCTAAGGAAGCCTCATTAAATTTTCATAATCTGAGGATCTCACGGCAGTGAGTTTGAAGATGGTTGGCTTCTGGGTTATTACGCCATGTAATCTGGTAAAGTTACAGAGGTACTTACTGATTCCATCAATGCCCTGATGATGGAGGCAGCAAGTACACCTGAAACGTTCATAAAACTTCTGTCATACTATATGGTATTACAACCCCAAAGACAGCCATCTTCTAGCTTTCAAATTAAGAGTAAATATTGCAAAAAATTATGTATAAAAACTAATTCTGGAAATTAATAGCCCAATTTTGAGAAAATATCTTGTACTTCCTTATAAATATCTCACTTTGTCTTGTTTCCTGCAATAATGTCTCCATAATCTGAGTTATGACCACCTATGATACGTCCTGATCTTTGCACAACTTTTTTTAATGAAATGCAGACTAGTTGCACATAATGTTCATTCTATACAAGCGTATTAGAGTAGACTACTCACTCTTGTTGAGTCAACACCCTCAACAAGTGCCCTGGTCCGCTCCGTTGCCTTGATAGTCGTCTTGAGAACACCATCAACGTACACATGGTATGAGTCTATGGCTCCAGGTGGGGCATCTGGGGGATTCCAGCCAATCAGGACGCTCTTGTTGAGTTGTCTCTCCAGTGTAAGTTGTTTCGGCGCTGGGACTAGATCCGAGAAGAATACCACTGCTGCTGCAGTTTGCAACCCAGACAGACAGAGCACACGGACGAGAGAACAGGACAGTCTTCGAAATGATAACCATTGGATTTTTGGAATGGAGGAAGGTGGAAAAGCAGCTCTATCTCTGTTCAGCCACCAGCCAGCAGCCAATAGCAGAAGGAATACATGGGATCCAAGGAGAAAGCCATAAGAAAAACTGCATGCCTGGTCTGCTCCACTCGACAGGATCTGATGATCTAAAACTACTGTATTTATTAGTAATAAAAACTGAGCTTGGAGCCAAATATCAGACCAATAGCTCTGTACCTGAGCTTGTGAAAGACTGATGTCATAATTTACTTTACATGCCAATGGATGATCAAAATAGACAGAAAATGATTTTTGATCACTCAAACTACTCTACTTACAAATGGTCAATTTTCTGTAATGTCGTAAGATGTGGCAATAGGACATAATTAATCCACATCATTCAATCCTTGTTTTAACAAATGTGCTGTAACATCTCTGTTCCCTGTGCTCTTCAACTTAAGACAGTACAAACTTTAGATGACAGATCTATAGCATTCTGAAACGTTCATAAAACTTCTGTCATACTATATGGTATTACAACCCCAAAGACAGCCATCTTCTAGCTTTCAAATTAAGAGTAAATATTGCAAAAAATTATGTATAAAAACTAATTCTGGAAATTAATAGCCCAATTTTGAGAAAATATCTTGTACTTCCTTATAAATATCTCACTTTGTCTTGTTTCCTGCAATAATGTCTCCATAATCTGAGTTATGACCACCTATGATACGTCCTGATCTTTGCACAACTTTTTTTAATGAAATGCAGACTAGTTGCACATAATGTTCATTCTATACAAGCGTATTAGAGTAGACTACTCACTCTTGTTGAGTCAACACCCTCAACAAGTGCCCTGGTCCGCTCCGTTGCCTTGATAGTCGTCTTGAGAACACCATCAACGTACACATGGTATGAGTCTATGGCTCCAGGTGGGGCATCTGGGGGATTCCAGCCAATCAGGACGCTCTTGTTGAGTTGTCTCTCCAGTGTAAGTTGTTTCGGCGCTGGGACTAGATCCGAGAAGAATACCACTGCTGCTGCAGTTTGCAACCCAGACAGACAGAGCACACGGACGAGAGAACAGGACAGTCTTCGAAATGATAACCATTGGATTTTTGGAATGGAGGAAGGTGGAAAAGCAGCTCTATCTCTGTTCAGCCACCAGCCAGCAGCCAATAGCAGAAGGAATACATGGGATCCAAGGAGAAAGCCATAAGAAAAACTGCATGCCTGGTCTGCTCCACTCGACAGGATCTGATGATCTAAAACTACTGTATTTATTAGTAATAAAAACTGAGCTTGGAGCCAAATATCAGACCAATAGCTCTGTACCTGAGCTTGTGAAAGACTGATGTCATAATTTACTTTACATGCCAATGGATGATCAAAATAGACAGAAAATGATTTTTGATCACTCAAACTACTCTACTTACAAATGGTCAATTTTCTGTAATGTCGTAAGATGTGGCAATAGGACATAATTAATCCACATCATTCAATCCTTGTTTTAACAAATGTGCTGTAACATCTCTGTTCCCTGTGCTCTTCAACTTAAGACAGTACAAACTTTAGATGACAGATCTATAGCATTATGTATGAACTGCACTTGTCACCTTAGTATATTACCAAGAATATACATACATTATTGCTTCAGCAGTCTCGAAATATCCATACAGTCAATAGCTCTTTAAGACGTGTTATTTTGTGAATCTACTAAACACTGTAAATAGAAAATAGAATTAGCTGAGCATTATGGGCTATGGTGAGCTACAGAAGAACTATGCACTAGGTATTAACAGATTTTAATTACCAAATTAGGTATACAATAAAAAATAACTTGAATCTCTCAGGCTTTCAGATGCTCATTTCTTGCTACTTGGTGTGATGCTAGAAACACTTGCAGTAGATCACTTTTGAACATCCTGGCTCCACCCATGCATGGTTTCCTCAAATCTAGCAAGCATCTACATTATTACTACCTGCAATACCAATCTATTGATCAATCATGTCAAATAACATATTAATTATTAGTTCAAAATGATGCTTGCTGTAAAGTAAAGAACATCAGTCACTTAGAGTGGCTATGTTTGCATTCATCTCCCACAAAGAGAAAACACAATTTACAAACATGATATCACATGTTTTGGATAGAACAAACTGACCCATGTATTTACATGCATATTATTCCAATGAAATCCTAATGTAAGGTTTCTTAATTTAATGATTTCTTTGTACTTAAAACTTAATTTTATTGCCTAGGGAAACATGTTAATATTTTCATTTCCTTCAATTTAGTTTCCAATCAATTATGTTAAGAGAAACCTTAAATGGGAGTTTCACTGCAAAAATTACTGCAATAAATTTAAATCAACAACTGTCTGTAAAATTCTTAAATGTCACACTGCTGGGAAGAAAATTATGATTTACGTCAAATATGTGTCAAAGAAACTTGCTGCATTGCATTGCATTGTACAGCTTCGTGCATTTGTGCGCTCATGCTTCAGAACCAACACTGTGAACTAGGCCTTCTTTATTCTACTGCATGCAGAAATGTTCCAAGAAGGAAACTCAGAGATGTGTTCTGTCTTTTCAGGAAAAATACTTTTGCACATTTCAGATGTGGAATGTCAAACTTCTGTTTGGAAACAAATATCGTTCTACTTCATATTTCATTAAAATAGGCCTACAATAAGACATACAATTGTACTAAACAAAAGCTGTACAGTCCCTTGATTTCAATATCATATCCTTACAAAATTTTTATTTGTTGTTAGTACTCAATTTGTGGCAGAGACAAGAATTTTCTTCACCCCTGGGGCCCATCTGGCCTCCTACTAAATCTGCACCGGGGCACTTTTGCCAGAAATAATGTGGTCGAAGCATGAAGCTGGACACTCGGTATCCCTGGGCACCAATGTTAAGAACATGTGGAGTTTAACCTCCTTTCATCTGTAAACCTTCATGGTATGTTGCTTAGACACAGGGACTAAATTACATCAATATGTACTATTACATAGTGTAACAGATAATAAGTCCAACTGATGCCAGTGACTGGTTAATATTCTTCAGGTGTTCTGTTGGTGTCATCATTATAAATTCAAACCAATCATTTCTATTCTTAACAGGATGTTCACCAGATAGTCCATGGTTTTGATTAATCTTATAGTTAATAATTATTTCAACCACTGAGGAGATGGAGAAATCATAACACATAATAATTTATAATTAAAAAACAAAGGTTGTTCAAATATGACCCAGACTTTTATTTTTCTGGCTGGCAAATCAAGAGCTACAGTTTCACTATTCTTGGGAAATAAGTGTTCCTTTCTAATTTTTCAAAGTATTCTTTCCAAGTACAATACATAACCTCAAAAATTTAAACACAGAATATAGGTACACCTCAAACTTGCACTAAAATATGACTGCCTTCTATTCCTGTTAAATTACAACAGCACATTTCTATTGTAATTATCATAAAATTATATACTATACTACTCACTTTATGATCAGCAATATGCAAACCTGAGAAAAATGTATACCCCACATATAGCTTACATTTTCTTTTTTCATAATAATGGAGACATCTGTGGGTACACATGAATATTAATGTTGAAAAATAGCTTGATTTCTGTCAGTGTAGTTTTATTATAAAACAATTATCTGCTTCCAAACATAGCTTGACATACCTTGTAAAACAAATATTTTCATCAAATAACAGAATCAGCAAACTAATTAGCATTCTATATAACAAAACAGTCCATTACTGTACTGTTTATAATGGTATGAATGGCACATTGCTACCAAAATGTATCCCATTTAATGAACAACAAATGAATCAACATAATGTTGCTACCAACTAACCAACAG